AAAAAATTAATTAGTTTTTTATTATTTATTTATTTATTTTTGTTATTTCCAGTTATTATCATTATCATTATTTTTTTTAGTTCTATAATTTATTGCTTTTTTTTTTTCATTTTAATAATATTCATAAATTTAAAAATTCAATTTAATTTTTTTCTAACAAAAAAAAAAAAATTATTTTTAATTAAAAATGAAAAGCAAAAAAAAAAAAACTTAGTGTGTTTATAATATTATTACAATTTTATATTTAATTTTTATTCGTATATATTTGCTTTTTTTAAAAAAAAAAATTTCAATTTTCTAAATAATCAATAAAAATTTAATAAATATTTTATTTTATAGTTATATTATTTATTGTTTACAAATTTTGCCTAGGAAAAGGAAAAAAAAAAAAACCTTTAAAATTTTTAATTAATTATTTGTTATCATTTAATTTCCATTTCTTATTTACAACAATTATTCTCATTTTCCATTTTCTCAATTTTTTCATTTCAATTATTTTATTTTAATTTAAATTTTTAAAGATTTATTAAATTCATTGTGTTTTTTTTATTTTTTGTATGTGAAATTTTATTTTTAATTTTATTAGAAAAACAAAGAGAGGGAGAGATAGAGAGAAGAGAGAGAGAGAGAGAGAGAGGAAAAAAATGGAAAAATGGAACTATTACTTTAGTAAATTTTAATTACTTTTTACTTTCCCACAATTTTTTTTTTTTTTAAGAGAAAAATAAGTTTTTTTGTTTTCTTCGTTTTTTAAAATTTAAATGAATTTTTCAATATTAATTATAGTAATACTTCCTTATTTGCTATTGAATTTTTGAGTGGAAAAAATAAAAAAAAGAAAATAGAAAATGGAAATTATTTCATTATAAACAAATAATTTATTCGTATGGAATGTACGAGAGAGAGAGAGAGAGAGACAGGGAGAGAGAAAAGAAAGAAAGAGAGAGAGAAGGAAGAAATCAATTATTGAAATCTATTTTTAAATTTTTTTTTTTTTTTTTGAAGTAATCTTTAGTTTTACCTATTTTAGTTACAAGCAAATAAATCCAAACGTTTTTTTTATTTTTATTTTTGTTTCGAAAAATAAGATAAAAGAGAAAAAATTGAATTAAATTTTATTGTTAAAAATTTCTCTCTCTCTCTCTCTTTTTCTCTTCCTCTCCCTCTCTCTTTCTCTCTAAACAAATAGCTTCTTTTAATAATAATTTGGAAAAAAAAAAAAAAAAACGAAATTCATTTGATATAAACAAATGTTTACAATATTTTTTGCTATAATTTATTTTCAAAATTTCATATTTAATTTTGCAAAAAAAAAAAAAAAAAAAATGAAACGACAATTTATTTCCGTCCAATTTCATTTTTTAAATTGATAAAATTACATTCATTCAAAATTTAAAAAAAAAAAATTTTTTTTTCTTCAAACTTATCACAAAAAAAAAAAAAAAACTGATGATGATAAGCTAACCAAAGAAAAATTTCAAAAAATTAATTTTAAAAACTTTTTTTGTGGTTTATTTAAGTACTGATAGATTTGTAACATTTATCATGAATTATCATTGTCTTATCATTAGTTTTATCAATTGCCCCGTCTATTGCTTTCATTTTAGCTTATATCAATGATTATCATTATCTTATCATTATCGTTACCATTATCATTTGCCTAATTTACTACTCATTTTAGTTTACATCAATGATTATCATTATCTTATCGTTATCATTTTCTCAGTCTATTGCTTATTTTAGTTTACATCAATGATTATCATTATCTTATCGTTATCATTTTCTCAGTCTATTGCTTATTTTAGTTTACATCAATGATTATCATTATCTTATCGTTATCATTTTCTCAGTCTATTGCTTATTTTAGTTTACATCAATGATTATCATTATCTTATCGTTATCATTCTGATAGCGATATCAACGATTGATAAGATGATTACCGTTATCATATCATAACAAATGACAATTTGGTATAGCAAATAATGATAATTATTAACAAGTGATAAAAATATGTCTGTCGTGTTTCATGAATTATCATTATCTTATCATTATCATTTTCTCAATCTGTTGCTTATTTTTTAGTTTATATCAATGATAGCGATATCAACGATTGATAAGATGATTACCCGTTATCATATCATAACAAATGACAATTTGGTATAGCAAATAATGATAATTATTAACAACTGATAAAAAATATGTCTGGCAATAATACTAATGCTGCTCTTAAACAATGTATTGAATCTGAAGTAAGTTAAAATTTTTTATTTTTTTCAAACTTATCATCAGTAGTACTGATAAGTTATACAGGAAGAATTTCATGAGATAATTTTTACTTAAATTATTAAATTTCATTTTGATAAATTAAAACATACTTTTATTGATCTCTTATTTTTAATTTTCAAATAATTAAGAAAAAAAAAAATCATCAATAAACGATTTATAGTAAAAGTTAAAAATTACAAATAAAAATTTTAATTTAACATTTTGACCTAATTTTAATGCATTTTTAATCATTGCTTATCAATAATAGTTACTTTTTTAATAGTATTACCTTATATTCAGTATTACAATTCTTTTCCTATTATTAAATTAAATTTAAAATATTATTTTATATTCAGCATTACAATTCCTTTTCTATTATTAAATTAAATTTAAAATATTATTTTACACAATTCTTTTCTACTATTAAATCAAATTTAAAATATTATTTTATATTCAGTACACAATTCTTTTCCTATTATTAAATTAAATTTAAAATATTATTTTACACTCAGTACTGCAATTCTTTTCCTATAACTAAATTAAATTTATTCATTCATAAAATTTTATCTTATTGTTTTACTTCAAAATAACTTAAAATATTAATGTCAATTAAATCAAACACAAAAAAAAAAAAAAAAAAAAACGATTATAAAAATTAATTTCAATTTAAAAAGGAAATGAAATGATAAGAAAAATTATGATTAAAAATGAATACATATATTATTTGAGCAAATTTTAAACTTTAAAAAAACTTAAAAATTTAAATTTTAAATTAATAATTAATGAATTAATAAAGTTTTCTATCAGGTGGTTAATGAGATAACAATAACAAATGCTAATGCAATTATTATGCATGTATTATTTGTGATGTGCTTCTTATCAGTATCACTTCAAGTGATCGTTATCATTAATGCATTACGATACATTCGTAAACATGCAAGTGAATGCTGCATGCATATTTTTTTATTCAATATGACTTTAGCTGATCTTTTATTAACAGGTAAGTAAAAAAAAAAAAAAAAATTTTTTTTTTTTTAATTTTAATTTCTTCATTTCTAATTAAAAATTTATCAGGAAAACAAAAATTTTATCAATTATTTATTTAATCAAAATTTAATCTTAATTTTTTTGATAAAAAAAATCCTTTTTTTTTTAATTTTTTTGATAATTAATAATAATAATTTATAATTTATTTTTTAATAATTAATAGTAATAATAATTTTAATTTTTAATAATTCTTTCTGATTTTTTTAATTTTAATAGTAATAAATTTGAAAATTTTTTTTTTTTTTTTTTTTTTGTCAATTTGTTTGTTTGTTTATTTGTTTGTTTGTTTTTTTGTTGCATAATTTCAGGTATTGCATTACCAATGGAATTTTTAATTGATATTGATACGATTAAATTACAATTTCCATATCATATTAATTTAATGATGCATTTCCTTCTTTGGCTTGGTACTTCTGTTTCCGGATTAAATTTGGTGCTTTTAAATCTTGAAAAGCTAATTTTTTCAAATTTCCTTTAAGGTTTTGTTTTGTTTTTTTTTTTTTTGAAATTAAATTAAAAATGTGAAATTAATTATTCAATCTAAAATGAAAATTTGTTTCAATTAAAAATTAATTTTTGTGAAATAATTATTTTAACTGTTATTTAACAAATATTTCTTTTTTTTTAATAATTTAATAAGTAATTTTTTTTTTTAATAACTTTAATAAGTAATCGTTCTAGTTTTAAGAAATTAATAAATATATTTAATAACAATAACAAATATTTATTTAGTACTTAATTGGAACGATTTTTAAAGTTATCATTAAAAGTTTGAAGTAATTATTAAAAGTTAATCTGCAAATCATTAGTTATAATTAAGCAAGAGAAATTGTTTACTTAACATTACTGAATTGAAAAATTGAACTTTTAAAATGAAAAAATTTGATTAAAAAAACAAACCTAATTTTAGTATACATATCTAAAGTATTTTTTTGATTGCATAATTACAATTATTTTTTTAATCGTTAGTTTAATTATTTAAGTATTACATCAAATAAATTTTGAAATTTTTTTTTTTTCATTTCTTTATAGGTTTAATTATTTAAGTTTTACATTAAACATATATTTTTTGACACTATTTTTTTTTTTTTTAATGCATGAAATTATTTTAAGATATTCAGAAATTATTTTAGGGCACTCAGAATAGTTTATGGTACTCAGAAATTATTTTAGGGCACTCAGAATAGTTTATGGTACTCAGAAATTATTTTAGGATATTCAGAAATTATTTTAGGGTATTCAGAAATTATTTTAGGGTACTCAGAAATTATTTTATGGTACTCAGAAATTATTTTAGGGCACTCAGAATAGTTTATGGTACTCAGAAATTATTTTAAGGTATTCAGAATTAATGAGACTTTTTTTTTTTTAATTTTTTTATAATTTATGAAATTATTTTAAAGTATTCAGAATATATTAAGGTACTCAGAAATTATTTTAAGGTATTCAGAATTGGTGACACGTCTTTTTTTTTCATTCTTATTGTAGTTCTTGAAATTATTTTAAGGTACTCAGAATATTTTATAGTATTTAGAAATTATTTTAGGGTACTCAGAAATTATTTTAGGGCAATCAGAATAGTTTATGGTACTCAGAAATTATTTTAAGGTATTCAGAATTAATGAGACTTTTTTTTTTTTAATTTCTTTATAATTTATGAAATTATTTTAAAGTATTCAGAATATATTATGGTAAGGTACTCAGAATATTTTATAGTATTTAGAAATTATTTTAGGATGTTCAGAAATTATTTTAGGGCACTCAGAATAGTTTATGGTACTCAGAAATTATTTTAAGTGTATTCAGAATTGGTGACATGTTTTTTTTTTTTTTTTTTTTCTTTTCCATTTTTCCACTTTTTTTTTTTTGTAATTTATAAAATAATTTTAGGTACTCAGAATTGGTGACACGAAATCGTGCATATTTAATGGCATTTGCTACCTGGTTTCTTAGTGTCATCTTTATTTACCTAGCATTTTATACTCGAGCATTAATTTGTCGTTACAATTGTGAACGACTTACCACCGATAATAGTCGTTACGGTCCATTAATGTATTTATTTTTTACGTTTTTTGTTTCCGCTTTTCCGGCTTTATCATCGTTTATGGTTGCGCTCTATTTATTACACATTGTTAGCATTCATAGGAAACAAATTGCTGAAGGTAATTTACTAATTAATTATGCAAAATATTAATTTGAAATGAAAAAGAAAAAAAAAAAGAAACTTTTTGTAAAATATAATTTATTGAATGAAATTTTTTAAAGATTAAAAATTAATTACATTTAATGTTTTTGTTTAAATTTAAATTTTTTTTTTTAAAAATTTAATTAAAAAATTTTGAATCTATTTTAATTCTTATTAAATAATTTTACAGAGAATAACTTTTTTGAAATTAAAGATTAAAAGTTAATTACATTTAATGTTTTTGCTTAAATTCAATTTTATTTTTTTTTTTAAAAATTTCATTAAAAACAAAATGAATATGTTAAAATGTTAATTTTAAAATGTAAATTTTCATCGTAATTTTTACTCCAATTTTTTTCTAATCTTTGAATTTAAATTTTATTAAACAATTTTTTATCTTAGCATTTTAAATGTTTAAATATTGTTAGTTTTGTTTAAATCTAAAAAAAAAAAAAAAAATAAAGTAATATTAGAAATAAGTTTTGATCAAATGTTATAAATATAATATTATAATTATACTTGTACAAATTATCATATTGATAATGATAATTTTGTAATAATCAATTTGTTAATTTATAATTATCAATTTTTTTTTTTTTTAATTAAATTAAATTAATTTTTTTTTTTTTTAGAGCAAAAATTATACACAGCAAATGGTATATGCAAGAAAAATAATGCAATGAAATCTGGAATGCGTACATTTTATTTCATTTTTATTTCAACTTTTTTCACAATTTTAACGCTAACACCATATCGTTTGGTGACACTGTACAGGACAATCATTGATAAGGATACAGTGATAAGAACATGCGGTAGTGTCTTTATCAGTGTGCTTACCTACTATGCGATGGATTTAAATCCGGTAATTGCATAATTAATGTGATAATTTTGGTAAATGAAAAAGTTGAAATAATTAAATTTAATTATATACTAAATTATCAAATCAAATTAGTTATGAAGTTTTTTTTTTTAAAAAATTTAAAATAGTTTAAAAAATTTCAACTTAAAAAAAAATTTCAAATTTCAATTAATAGTTTAAAAATTTCAATTAAATTTTAATTAAATATTTATTGTAATCATCAAACAGGCTTATATTATATTAAAATTACGTATTATGCGATGGATTTAAATCCGATATTGCATAATTAATGTGATAATTTGGTAATAAAAAAGTTGAAATAATTAAATTTATTTATATACTAAATTATCAAATCAAATTAGTTATTATACTATAGCTAATCAAAACAATTTTAAAAAAGTTTATATTTTTTTTTTAAAATTTAAAATAGTTTAAAAAATTTTAATTAAATATTTATTATAATCATCAAACAGGCTTATATTATATTAAAATTACCTACTATACGGTGGATATAAATTCGTTATTGCATAATTAATGAGATAATTAAGAAATAAATAATTATATACTAAATTATCAATTAAATTAATTATTTGAAACAATTAAATGTTTTAATTATATGCTAATCAAAACAATTTAAAAAGGTTAAAATATTTTTTAAAAATTTAAAATAGTTTAAAAAATTTTAATTAAATATTTATTATAATCATCAAACAGGCTTATATTATATTAAAATTACCTACTATACGGTGGATATAAATTCGTTATTGCATAATTAATGAGATAATTAAGAAATAAATAATTAGAAAAAACAACTAAACTTAATTATATACTAATTAATCAGTTTAATTAATCAATATACCACAGCTAATCAAAACAATTTTAAAAAGGTATTTATTTTTTAAAAATTTAAAATAGTTTAAAAAATTTCAATAAAATATTTGTTATAATTATCAAGCAGATTTACATCATATTAAAATATTATCTTTTCCTAAACAACAAGTAATTTATCAATATAATTAACAGTTAATTAAAATATTTTTAAAACTTTAGTCTTTTTTAAAATTTAAAACAATTTTAAAGATTTCAATAAAATGTTTATTATAATTATCAAACAGTTTTACACTATATTAAAATATTATCCTCTCTTAAATGATAAATGACATTTAAATTTAATTTAATTTAAATTTTAAATTTTATTAAATACGTTATCAGTAGGTTTACAATATTTATCAGTTTAATTTGTTTTATCATTTTTTTTTTCAGATTTTGAATCCATTATTAACAGTCATCATTCTACCACAATATCGTTTACAATGTTAAATTTTCTTATATCACTTCGACTAAGAAATAATCATGATGAGATGTGTGATAAATAAAATGATAATTTGAAATTTGTTTTTTTTGAAAATGAAATATTTAGCAAATAAATTATAAATTAGAAATTATCATTAATCAGGTAAAATTTTCATTAATTAAATAAAATTATCAATATTTGATGTTTTTTTTTTCTTTCCTTTTAACTTTGTTTCATTTATTTTAAATGGAGAAATTTTGAATTAATTTCAATTATTCATTTTGAGTGATTATCAATTAAGTGATAAGATTTAAATTGATAAAATTGGAGAAAAAAAAAGCAATAATATATTCATTCTACAATTAATGATTTAGTTTAAATTTTAAATTGTTAAAAGATAGGTTTATGGAAAAAAAATAAAATTTAAAATTTTAAAATTAAAAGAAAACCAAATTATATTTTGAGTGATTATCAATTAAGTGATAAGATTTAAATTGATAAAATTGGAGAAAAAAAAAGCAATAATATATTCATTCTACAATTATTTTATTTTATTATTATTATCCTTTTTTTTTTTGATTTAGTTTAAATTTTAAATTGTTAAAAGATGGATTCATAAAAAAAATAAAAATTGAAATTTTGAAATTAAAAAAAAAAAAAAAACAAATTATAAATTTGTTAAATTAAAAAATTTCCTACTTTTCCTGCAAATAAAATATAATTAAATGATAGAAAAAAGAATTCAATGATAAGATAAATTTATCGATATATGTTAATTAATACTGCCACATTAATACAGTGATAATAATTTGCTTATCATTTTGTTATCATAATTATTTCACTATTTTTACAAAAAAAAAAAAAAAAATCTATAAAATCTTAAAATATATTAGAAAAAAAAAAATTGAAAAAGGAATATGAAATGAATCATAAAATTGAATATAAAGTAGAAAAAAAAAAAAAAAGTTTTAAAAAAGTTTAAAAAAGTAAAAAGTACATGAATATAAGTTAAAATTAATTTTTGCTATTTTTATTTTTTAATTTTTAAAATTTGATGATATCATTAGAGCATATAATTATTATTCACTTTCATTAAATTTATTTATCAAATAACAAAATTGTTTGATTTAAAATTTTGAATTTGATTTTTTCTTTTCATTCAATAATTGCCATTTATTGAAATAGGCAAATTTTATTTTATGCTTATTTTAAATGTTTTTTTTTTTCAAAATTAATTCTTTAAAAACGAAAAATATTTTTTTTTTTTTGCTTATTTAATTTTAACTTTCTTTTTTTTTTTAAATCGTTTCTAATTTAAAAGTTATTAAAATAATTTTTTTTTTTGTATTAAATTTTTTAATTTCATTAAATTTATTTGTTAATTGAAATTATTAAATGTTAAAATTATCATTCCTAAATACATTCATACCAGTGCTGTATCATTTTATTATTGCTCCTAAATATTGCATTTTATTATTTTTATTATTTATTTATTTATTTATTTATTTTTTGCAATCTACGATTTTATTTTATTTTATTTATTTTTTTTGTTTTAATTTGTGACAAAATTTGTTCGTTATGATATTTAGCATTTGCTTATGTTTTATTTATGATAAATAAAATGATATGATGTTATCAATAAATGCTTTTAAATTTGTTTTTTTTTTTTTTTTTTTTTTTTTAAATTTTAGCCAAAAGTGAAAACATACATTGAAAATATTATCAGAAATGATAATCAATAAATTTGATCATTGAAATCGATTGAAATAATTGAATTCCGGAATTGAAGTATGCTTATATGTTTTAATTTAATTTATCAAAAAACAAATTTAATTAGCAATTTTTTTTAATTTACAAATAAATTAATTAACAAATTTGATTTGATTAGTTTTCTTTTTCGTTTTTAATTCTATGAGACTGTTTAAATTCAGAATATTTAGTAATTATTAGAAAAAGAGATATTGAAAAAATTTAAATTTTTTTAAATTTCAATTTTGATATAACCTAAAATTAATGAAATTTAATGGAATATATCGAAAGAAAGAACTGTATAAATACATAATATTTACAGATTATTGAAGAAGTGATAATAAAAAATTTTAATTTTTATAAATTTCAATTTTGATATAACCTAAAATTAATGAAATTTAATGGAATATATTTAAAAAAAATATATTATTGCATAAATGCGCCTAAAATGTTTGCAACATGCAAAAGTTTTGAGTGTAAACAAAAAAAAAAAAAATGTGACAAAATGAAAAATTTTTTTCATCAAAGTAAAATTATAATTAAATGTATTATTACTTTTTAATTATTAATTTCCTATTTTTATTATATAAACTAGACTAAACATTTTGCAAAATGTAAATATTTGTGAATTTTATGAAATTTAAAAGTAATGAAAAAAAAAAAAAATTTTGAAACATTTGAGCAATTTTTAATTAAAAAATTTTTAGTAAACGATCTAAATTGTTTCATTTTTAAAAACGATTGTGACAAATTAAAATTCATTTTGAAAAAAAAAAAAATAATTTTTTTTTTTTTTTGAAATTTATCTAAAATTAATTAAATTGGTGATGGAAGATAACATGTACCATGCAAAAAAGCCACTGTGAAAAGAAAAATTGCAATAAAATTAATAAAACAAAGTGCAAAAATAAAATTATTTCGTTTTTTTCGTTGTCGATATTTGATCCATTGTTGATGATCAGTCATCTAAAAGTAAAGTAAGTAAGTAAGTAAGTAAGCTAAAAGTAAGTTAAAATTTTTTGCTAATTTTATTCATTGAGTAAATAAATTTTGAAATTTTGTAAAACTGAAAAAATGAAAAATTTTATTTTATTTCATTTTTTTTTTTCAATTTAAATAATATCAAATAATATAGGATATTAAAATGAATAAACTTGAAAACTCATTGTAAACTTTCCAAAGATTACCATTCGATTTTATTTTTTTATTTTCTCTTTTTTTTAAAAAAAAATTAAATTTTTCACTATTTTATTAGTAAAAAGATTACTGTTGAAAATTTGAATTGAAATTTGTTGAAATTTTCAAATCAATTTTATTTTAAAGATTTGTTTTTTAATTTTAAAGGTTTTTTAAATTTTTTAAGATCCAATAATGAAATATAATATTTCAATTTTGAGAGATAAACGTTATTTTGCCTATTAGGATTTGAAATTATTATGAATCATTCATTTTAGGTCATAGGTTACCTAAAGGTCATAGTTACTGTGACAAAATTAATTGAACTGAAAATTATTTCAATATTTTATAAATGAAATTAACAACTTTTATCAAATAATTAAGATTTATCACCTAAAGGTCATAGTTACTGTGACAAAATTAATTGAACTGAAAATTATTTCAATATTTATGAATGAATTAATCAAATTTTATCAAATAATTAAGATTTATCACCTAAGGGTCATAGGTACTGTGACAAAATTAATTGAACTGAAAATTATTTCAATAATTTATAAGCGAAATTAACAACTTTTAGCAAATAATTAAGATTTATCACCTAAAGGTCATAGGTTACTGTGACAAAATTAATTGAACTGAAAATTATTTCAATAATTTATAAGCGAAATTAACAACTTTTAGCAAATAATTAAGATTTATCACCTAAGGGTCATAGGTTACTGTGACAAAATTAATTGAACTGAAAATTATTTCAATAATTTATAAGCGAAATTAACAACTTTTAGCAAATAATTAAGATTTATCACCTAAAGGTCATAGGTTACTGTGACAAAATTAATTGAACTGAAAATTATTTCAATAATTTATAAGCGAAATTAACAACTTTTAGCAAATAATTAAGATTTATCACCTAAGGGTCATAGGTTACTGTGACAAAATTAATTGAACTGAAAATTATTTCAATAATTTATAAGCGAAATTAACAACTTTTAGCAAATAATTAAGATTTATCACCTAAGGGTCATAGGTTACTGTGACAAAATTAATTGAACTGAAAATTATTTCAATAATTTATAAGCGAAATTAACAAATTTTACCAAATAATTAAAATCTAATAACGATGTTTCACTCATTTCATTGTGCATAATCATTTGATTTCGACTATTTTTCACATTACTATTGCATAAATTTGCTGTACAGCAATGATAATTATTTTCAATTTGAATAATTTGGCTAATATCTAAATGAAAATTTTCAGGATGATTGCATTTAAATTTAAATTATTTCAGATTGTAATATTAGTATGTGTGTGTGTGTGTGTTAGAATGATTAGAATAATTTTTTTTTTTTCTAAAATTAGGATGATTTTAAGTTTTTTAAAAATATATTAAAAATGAATAAATCCCCTATTTTACCATTTTTTTTTTCTAAAATTATTGCATTTAATTTAAATTATTTCAGATTGTAATATTAGTATGTGTGTGTGTGTGTGTTAGAATGATTAGACTAATTTTTTTTTTTTTCTAAAATTAGGATGATTTTAAGTTTTTTTAAAAATATATTAAAAATGAATAAATCCCCTATTTTACCATTTTTTTTTTCTAAAATTATTGCATTTAATTTAAATTATTTCAGATTGTAATATTAGTATGTGTGTGTGTGTGTGTGTGTTGGAATGATTTTTTTTTCTAAAATTAGGATAATTTTAAGTTTTCTTTTTAAATATATTAAAAGTAAATAAATTCGAAAAATTAATTTTACTATTTTTTTTCCTAAAATTATTGCATTTAATTTAAATTATTTCAGATTGTAATGTTAGTATATGTGTGTTAGAATGATTAGAACAATTTTTTTTTCTAAAGTGAGGGTGATTTTATATGTTTTTTTCTTAAATATATTAAAAGTAAATAAATTAAAAAAATTCATTTTACCATTTTTTTCTAAAATTAAGTTAATTTTATAAGGTTTTTTTTTTTTTTTTTTTTTTGTTTATACAAATATTTTTTTTATGCAAATATATTAAAAGTGAATAATTTTAAAAAATTAATTTTACCATTTCGTTTCAAAAATGTTTTATTTGTTTTGTATAGATTAAAACTTGATGAACATTTTATATTGAATATATCAATACAACCATAAATTGTATGTGATTGTGATTGCTTATCAATGATAGCACGAAAACATGCTAATTCATTAGGTGAACATTGATTGATAATTAAATCATTATCAGTACCAACAAAACTGAAATGGAATAATCAAATTTCATCTGTATTCTAATTTAATTTCAGTAAAAAAGAAAGGAAATAAGAGCAAAAATTGAATGATTAAAAATAATTAAATTCGAAAGATTAAATAAATTTTATTAAAAATGAATTAAATTAGCATAATTTTTAAATGTTTGATAAAATTAATCTTACTGATAGAAATGAATCAATTAATCGTTTGAATAATCCAATAAAATGAACAAAAAGGAAAGATCTACCACAGTAATTTCATTTAATAATGAGAATTAATTATTTTTTTAAATGATAAGATAATTGATAATTTTGATAAGCCACTCTTAATTTGGAATTTTTTTTAAAACCGAATTTAAAGCAAAAATTTTCTTTTTTTTTTTTTTTTTTTTTTTTGTAACAAATATAAAAATAATTTTAATAGAATCATTTTATATCGTAATTAATCACTGATAATTTATACCATCTTAAAGTTTGCAAACTTTTTGCTAAAGAAATTAATAAAATTATACAATATAGCAATAGTATCCATTGAAACAACCGTATCACTTGAGCCATGCAATAACAATAAATTCATCGTAAATTTTCTTATTTATGATTTAAATGATTTAAAAAAAAAAAATTTAAATTATAAAATTAGCAAAAATCGTACTTTCATTTTTATATATTTAATAAATTCGTAGTTAATTATTTATTTACTCATTGAATTCAACTATATTTACGCATTACTAAAATGACATTAATCAATTTGAAAGGTCAAATAATTCACTTAACTTGAAATTTACTTAACTTAAAAGGTCAAACAGGGTCAAATGATCATGTTCATCATACAACCTCATAAATTCAAGAAGCAATTAATTGTGTCAAAAATACCTATCATAATTAATTAATCTCGAATTCGGTTTCTTATAAAATGTTAGCAAAGAGGAGAGACCACATTTACAAAAGAGACGGCAGAGAGTGAGTGAATTTTTCCTACATCCACTCATTACTTACTGCACATACAATCCCTGACAACATATGACGGAGAGGAAGGCTGTCGGGATAGCATTTCAATAAACAGAGATTAGGTCGACTTAATCGAATAATCTCCACCTGAGGAATGCAAGAGTAATGCATTTGGGAGGTTCCAATGAGGCGTTCCGTTTCCGGTGCATACCGTCGGGAAAGGGTCAGAGTCGCTCAACATTTGTACTTCAATTCAGGGAAGTTTCCGGCCAAATCGAACTTGAAAGGTTGCAACTGAACTTATCGTTGACTTACTGCTTCCCTTTTCAACATACGATTACATTAATTTATTCCGTACTTGAAATTTAGATCTTGCGTTAGTTCCGGTTTAGAAGTTTATGAATCCATTAATTAACTGAACATGTACTACAAATTTGTTCAATATTTAACAAAGAAAACAACAAATTCAATAAACAGGTATTCTCTTTGTGCATTGTAAAAGGTAACTTAACTTCAAGCAATAAGAATAATTCATGAGATCATTCCAATTGCAAAATGAGAAAATGTATATTTACAAACGATGAAATTAGAGATTAAAAGATGAGAGCAAAATTTAAACAAACTTGAAGATTGCAAAAAAAAAATAAAATAAAAAACGAATGGAATAAACATTCATCGTATGATTTAATCCATATGAGAAATAGCTATGAAAGTACATGATCCGGATGAATATTCAATGAGATTAGTACGTCCGGATGCATCTGAAAATGTCATAACTAAAGCTCAAAGATTAAATTAGAATATGGAGGAAAAGTGATGATAGTGATGAAGAAAGAAAGTGTTTTTAGCTAAATGAAGACAAAAAAAAACATGAAATGAATAGTTCTTCAGGTATGACTTTTTTACAAATCAAAAGTAACTTCCTGAACAAAAAAAAAAAAAAAAATTATTTTCTGAGCAAATGAATTTTGAAAAAAAAAAAAAAAAAAATTATTTTAATTAAAGAAAAATTATTTTCTGAGCAAATGAATTTTGAAAAAAAAAAAAAAAATTGATACCTGAGCTATAGTTTCATCATTTTCAGCCAAATATTCATGCAACTTCTCAATGGCTGTATCCGATGACACTAATTTTCTGCTAATTGTATCGCCCAATCTAGCTAATCTAAAAATAGCACATAGATTAAAATTATGAAATTAGTTCTACAACTACCTGAAAATTTATTCATCTGAAACAACAAATCACTAACACAAATTTATTTGTTTATTCTATCAATTTAAAATTTTTCCGTTACCGAAAAATGATGTAATCTGAAAATTCCCAATAAAAATAAAAATTTGAAAAAAAAAAAAAGTTCAATTTACTTGTAACAAACAGCATATTCAAGTCTTCTTATTGGATGAATCCAATCAGCATCCATAAGAAATGATTCAACTGTTCGTAATACTGCGCTAATGTTATATCGAAATGAAACACTGACCAAAACATCATAATTCATCCTTTAAAACATAAAAAAAAAAAAAAAAAGTTAACGAAAAAGTTAATTTCGTAAAAACGATAATTAAGCAAAAAAAAAAAAATTTCTTTTTATTCTAACTCCAAACAACTTATGTTTTATTATCCCGACTTTTTGTTTTACATAATTCTTTCACATAAATGTTCCATATAAATGATTGCTTTTATTTGATAAACAACTAAAGTTTAATTTTGAATAAAATTTTGCTCATTTGGTCTCCAATTTGAAAGATGAACCAATTCATTGAACTACAGCAATTAAATAGCCACACTAAGGAAATTTATGACCTGAATCGCCTTCTACTGATGAACAATTTCAATAAACCAAAGAAGGCAATAAATATTTTATTTAGATAATTAGATTGAACTAACATAGTAAGTCTTCATAACAAGACTTAATTAATTAATATATTCATATACTAACTAGGAAGTAGCAAGACCATAATGACAAACCTTGTCACAACAATCTGTCGATATTTCGCAGTTGCATCAATGAGACAATCTAGTTCATAGGTGGAAATACCTTCTACCCAGCATTTCTTTATACCTTTCGAACGTTGTTCATTCCATTCGGTGAATAGTTTGCCACCAATAGATGCCAAATATGTGACATCAACAAACCATGAACGTTCCTTACACTAAAGCTATTTTTTTCTAATTTGAAATAGGTAAACAAAATTAGCAACTTTCACATTTTCATTTATGAAGACTGACTAATTTAAGAAGAGAATTCTTATCTTTCCTTATCTTTCTGATTATCAAAGAAATCTTCTGTTCAAATGAATTTCTGGAAATTTAGTCTAATTTAATGAAATTAGAGGCAAATATAGCAGAATAACAACAACTATTATTCTGTTTTGAACGATTGTATAGCCAAATACTCAAATTCTTTTACGATAGTAAAGTAAATACTAGAGTAAAATACTGTAATAATTACATTATCAAATGAGCTTACACTTATTTCAAAGTCTCTATATGGTGTCTGTCCACTAAGATCTTGCGGTGATAATGTTTCGATGATTCGTAATTTTAATGTTACATCAACTCTTGACCCACTTCGTGTTTCCTCTTGCAATACAACACTCGATGCTTCCCATAAATCCCTATAAACCTATAAAATACAACAGACTAATAAATCTTACTTTTTTAAAGTACATGATAATTGAAGTAATAAGATGAAAACATTATCAAGAAAAATATTACTAATAATATAATTAACAAAGAATAAGCAAAATAATGAAGTAAAATGCCGGAATTACGGATAAACGTAAAAAGTGAAGAGAAAAATATTGTATAAAGATTAAATATATATTAAAAGAATGAGAATAAAAAAAAAACCTTGAAATGAAAAGCACCAATGGATAGCACTACATCAACAAGTAATGAATATGCACAATGCTCTTCCGGATTAACACTTAGTATCCATTCATCATGTGATTTTTTCTTTGTGCACTGAAAAGATATCAAAAATTTAAAAGACAAAATAACAACAGCATAAAAAAGCTGGAATTTCTCAAATCAATTTCATTAATCTAAAGTCATATGAAACAAATGATATGACACGATAGTCTAATAAAGATAATTTCATAGATATAATGCATAAAAATTGATTTATATAAGAAAAACAAAAACAAAAATCTTATTTCTATCTCGAAAAAAAAAATTCTACTTCTAGCTATGATTCGAACAGTAAAAGATTCAACAATTCAAGAGGAAAATATCTAATGCATTAAAAAATACTTTCATTTATCATAAGTTGTTATGACATGACAAATATAATAAATGATAAAAGTTATACAAAAGCTAGAATTTCATTTCTTCTATATTCAAAATTTCATCTCGATAACTGAGATGATCTAATAAACTAGTAAGATAAATGATAAAATTTAAAATGATTAAATAAATCAAAATTATCTATATCTATGAATAAGTCTAAGATAATATTTCAAAATGATTAAATAAATCAAAATTATCTATATCAATGAATAAGTCTAACCTGTATTGTGCAACAATAACCATATTCAGAAATTGTTGAAGACCATCCATTTGATAAATCAGCACCATTCCATATACGTTCTAATGTCCATGCTAATTCCATATTGTTTTAGCAAATTTGGCAAAATTACTTAAATTCAATTTTTTTTTAAATTGATAAAGTGATAACGAATTTTTCTTTTTTTTTTTTTTTTTTTTCAATTTATAACAACGTATATTCATAAAATCCCTATAATGTTTAAAAATATGAATAGTATGAGGATATTTATTTTTAACCCAAAATTTTAAATGTTAAAGTTTAGCAAACATTATGATTGAAAATAACTACTTGTTTATTATACATTAAATACATTGTTAACATTAATACAAGCTATACAAATATATTTTCAGAGAACAATCACAAAAATAAAATCGTAAACAGCAAAAAAAAAAAAAAAAAAAAAAAGAAGTTGGAAGGTGTAAGAAAACAACACACTTCCATTTTATAATAATAACGTGAAGAGTTCAATGAAACAGTGAAGAAACAAATCGTTCCTATATTACTTCAAACTAACTCTTCAAATTTATTATACAACCAAATACCTCTAGTATAAATTGCACTTGGCTTATTTCCTAAAAATCGTTTTTTTTTTTTTTTTCTAAGCCTATATTCGATTTGAAAATGAATTAGCATGATATAAAATTATGCTGTACAGAAATATCATCATCTTTACCCTAATTTAATTTCACAAAATCTAAAGAATTGATCAGCAGCAAATAAGGGAAAAGCTGATAACATCAATTTCCTTTGATAGGAAATAGTTTTACTCTTTTCAGACCAAAATTATATAAGAATTCTAACTAATATTAAGGAAGCATTGATACAGCAAAAAGAAAAAAAAAAAAATAATAATAATAGACCGTAATTTATTCACCGAAATAAAAAAAAAAAAAAATATTTGTTAAATTGGTTTATAAAGTAGCGTTGTCACATATTTTTTACGATAACGATGTGTTGCAGAAAGTACCATAACACCATCCTTAATTGATAGTGCATAAAGATGATTAAGCATTACATGGTTTGGTTCCGGTAGTACATTTGGATCACACTGCATCGGTGTGTCTTTATTGAGAATCACCTGAAAAAAAAAAAAAAAAAAAAAAGCAAAAGGTGTTTACAATGCACCAATATAATAAAATTTCGGTTAAGCATAATAATGCTTTAAAGTTCCTCAGTCCATGAGGAATGGTAGGCCAAAGATTGGAAAATAATCAAATCACAAAAAGTTATTTTCACTTCGATCAATAATAATCGATTAAGAGCTTAAAAGTTTGGACAATTTTCCATATCTCTCAAAAATATAAAATACCTTCGTTTACCGAGAAATTTATCGCATCAAGCTGAACAAAAAGTTATTACATAAAAATTACTTTATAATTGAAATTATAATTTTTGAAAACATGTCAACATGGATACCTGTAAAAGATGAGGTGGCAAAACTGGTGGATTTTGAGCTTTTTCAAACTCTCTACGATCTGGTATTTCTTGAGTAAAATTTTTCAACTTCTCAATTTCGCGTTCATTTGGTGTATCATGTGAAGATGGTGGTGCACCAGTCATATTCACCTTCCTCATCGCTTCTCCAGCATTTGATGATGCTAAATCACGATCAAGTGCATCGAACACCTAAAAATATGAATGGAAAAACAAGAACTACTATTAGCAACGAATTCAATGCATAACTTTAATAATACTTGTACAATTTTAACAGCGATCTCCTACTAAAATTTGTTAAAGTAAGACTAAAATGAGAAATGAAATAATGGAGCAAATAAATATGTCCAAAAAGAAATTTCACCAAATTCGTTTCCATGAACTATTTTGACAGATCAAAAATAAAAAAATGAAAAAAAGGTTGTCAACTAAGAAAAAGGAAGGAAAAAGATTACACTATCTAAACTATACTATTTTAGAGAAACCATTATCTTCTTTATAAAATCAAAAAGAAAAAAATACTTCAAAATCAGCTTCATCAATTGCAATGACATTATTTTGGCTTCCAAACTTATTGTCTGTTTTTGCTGCATTTTCGTCAACTACCCATTTTCCATCGATAAAAAATTTGTATTCATGTTTCCCTGAAAAAATCGACTTTTATACGCAAAAAAAAAAAAAAAAAAAAAGAAAAAAAATTTATTTGTTTCATTTAAATTATTACAGAAATTTTTTTGCTATATTTTACTTGAACTAAAACATAAGACAATACGCCATGCATACATAAATGGAACGTTCCAATGTTCCGATGTTGATAAAGGGATCGCGGAATGCATATTAATGTAATTTCTTTTATACTTATAATTTCAAATCTAAGCTTACCAGGATTCAGATTAATGATAGTCGAAAAATCCTGAGTAGATCTGCATAATGGTGTCATTTTTTTCCAACCATCCCAAGAACCGGATATATAAACACCACCCGCCTGACTACCACCTTGCCATTTAAAAACCACCGGATATTCATTTGCTTCCGAAAATTGTATACTTGGTGTTGAAACAGACCCGTCACTTTTCGCAATTTTTACCTAAAAAATTTGAAAAAAAAAAAGAATCAATTGGAAAGCCTAATTATATTTCCTAGTACAGGAAAAAAAAAAACTAACAATCACATCTACCACAACATTCAACAACAGGTTTAATAATTGAGATCGAAAAGACCAAATACATTCAGCAATTTCATTTTGAACAAAATAAGCAGAAAAAATATGATTGGAATAATAATCAAAATGTAATCAATTTCATTAGTAATCAGCAGTGATTAAATCGAATAGTAGTAATCTATAATCTATGATGATTGTAACTTTAAAAATTTTCCAGACAATTCTTTTAATCAAAAATTAACAAAACTACGATTTGAACAATAAAATATGATGAATTACAAAGAACCAATCAATAGCATTTATCTTTCAATGTATCACATCGGGTAAAATAACTCTAATTAAAATGTATCACATCGGGTAAAATAACCCTAATTAAAATGTATCACATCGGGTAAAATAACCCTAATTTTTTTTTTAAAAAAGAAAACATTTATGCACAAACCTGTACAGGACATCCATCTTCCGTTGTACCAGCAGCACCCATTATATGACCGGATGTACCACTACCACCAGCAATACTACCAGCTGTTACCCACTGTCGTGAACGTTGCTGTCCGTCAAGGGCACGTTCCCGTTTATGAAGTCCACCCTGATTATTGCCCATATCACAGCTCGTGTATTTCCTCTTCTTCCGCTGTTTCACCGCAACAATTTCTTTTTTTTTTGAAGAGTTATCTTCCTTTACAAATAATAATGATATTTCACTTTTTCTGCACTTTTCACTTCTGCAAAACAAATAAAATCAATTAACATAAGAAAATAGAGAAATGAAGAAAAAAAAAAAAAAAAAGAGAAGAAAGAACAACGAAAAATTACATGAAATATAAATGAGTAAATAAAATAATTTAATTAAATTTGTAATTAACATGAAAAGATTAAACTATTACAAATGCTTAATCACTTGCAAAATTTTCAAAATTCACAATTACATTATCTAATTCACTTTATTTGCTGCTATGTTGATAAATTCAAAGTTTTACGATTTGAACTAAAAGAGAGAAAGAGAGAGGGAGAGGGTAAAAGAGAGTGAGGGAGAGAGAGAGAGAAGAGTGAAAAAGTTTTTGCGCACTTTTTCTTCTCGTCAATTAAAGTGTAACGATTGAATAACACAGAAAAAGAATGATTGTGTATTTACACCACAAATTTCTGAGAAAAATAAAATAAAATTAAGATTGAAAATAAGACGAGGAGAAAAAGGATGAAATAAGTGATAAATTCAATTAGCTACACGTTTCGTTTAAATGCTGATTATTTAAAACAATTGAAAAAATTAAAATGTATTATAACATGTAAAGTAAAATGTATCATAAAGCTGGATAAAAGTAAGATGATAATGACAAAATAAAAGATAAAAACAATAAATAAGAAAAAAAAAACGAATTAATAAACTATAAGATAAAAAAAAAAAAAAAAACTTATGATCTCTTAAGTAATTATTATTAAAAATAATTTCACTATAGTTAAATGTAAGATTAAATTTTGACATATTAACATATTAAATGAAATAAACCTTCCCAACATTTACATCCTATATATAGATATTAAATTAATATAAGAGTATTAACAGAAATGATTTAATTGAGATTTTCTATTCTTTCAAATATTTGGAAAAAATTATTTCCCTAAATATACGTAAAAAATTGTTTACAAGTTAGAAGACAATTTCTAGAAAATTTTTCTTTTTTGATAATATTTAAAACAAAAATAGAATTATAGAAAAATTTTTTGAATAGTAAAATGAAATTACAAAAATATATTTGCAAGAAAAAATGAAATCATCAAATGATTACACATATGAAACATAAAACTTTGCTCACAATAAATGGCCACGTGTTTATCATTACGGCCCGTTATTTCTCGTTAGCACCAAAGAGAGAGAGAGAGAGGGGGAGAGAGAGGGAGGGGAAGGGCGAGAGAGAGAGAGGGAGAGAGAGGGAGGGAGTAAAAAAAAATTATCAAACTAACCATTTCGTTCATTTTTTTTCTTTTTTTTTTGTCATTACTCATCAAATTCTCTTATTTTTATTTATCATTCCTGTTTTATTTATGTAACTCTTTGTTTCATTTCATTCATCATCCTATTATCTATCATTTATCATCTTTTTTTTTCGTTCAAAAATTTTTCAATATTTGATATATTACTAAAAGTTATGATTATTTTTAAATTTAAAATTCACCTATTAATCAGTTTATTATGATAAGAATTCTATTTCATTCACAAAATAATTATTTTATCATTTGCAACAATAGTTATTTTGAATTCTAAACATTATTATCTAATGAAAGAAGCATTTATTATTATTTATCAGTTAACTTATCAATCAATATATTTCATCTGATATTTCAAAATTTCACTTGAAAGTAACTTCAATTTTTTTTTCTTTTTTTTTTACATTCCGATCAAATTATAAAATGAAATGAAGCAACTGTGATAGATGCATTTGATGTAAAAGTAAGTTTAATTAGCGGTTGTACAGTTAGCATTTACTTTTATATTAATTATGACAGTATGATGATCTCTCCTCCTATTACTATAATTATTCAAAAATTGTAATTCTTATTTCACTATTTCATCGTTTGCGTTAATTAAAATTAATCATCTATTAAATTTGCAAACAAATTTATAAATTATCAATTGAGAGGATATAAAATACAATCTAGAAATAATTAAATCAATCAAATATGACATCAAGCGAGGATATTCTTCGAAGAAATATTACGGAGCTAAAAGAGAAAATTGCGGATATCGATGAACAAATAGCTCAACTACGAAATCGTCAGAAAATATATGAAGCAAAATTAAAGCTTATGGTGCTTTTGCTTCTCAATATCTCTTCAATTCTACAACAATTAATCAATCCAGAATATGCGTAAAGATTTTCCGGAACTCAGAAAATCATTTACGAGAAAAAAAAGGAAAAAAAAAAAAAAAAAAAACTTTAATTCAACATAAATGAATTTTATTAGGAGAGTTGGAAAATTACTTTTTTTTTTTTTTTTTTTAGGAGAATCATCTGAATGGATATCATATAAAAGGAGATACCGGTTATGCAAAGAACATCGATGAATCGTTCAGTACCACTGAATTATTAGAATTAAGCTTATCATCAATTAGTTCCTCAGTACTTGGCAGTAGTACCTCATATGATGATGATGATGACGATAGTGATCAAAATAATTTGGAAGTTAACTTAGAAAATGGTCAAAATGGGCGCTTTCGTTATAAGCAAAAAATTGGAGAAAATAATGGATAAATAAGTAATGCAAATAATTTAATGAATTCATATAATCTCATATCTTATTCATAGCATATTAAACTTTACTCTTTTAAATTCGCATTGCTCTCTGATTGACAAAAATTATTGCTGTGTTTTTAGTGTATCATTGCAAAAAAAAAATTACATAAAGTTCGAGAATAACTTCACGGAACACAACATTTCCAAAAACATTTAAAAAAAAAAAATTTTAAAAAAAAAAAAAAAAAAAAAAAAACACTGCAATACAATGCAAATAGTAACCTAATGTTGCAATAATTCAATAAGCTAACATGAAAGATAGAGAATAATTCAACTGCAATTGGAGAAATAGATTAGAATTAAACAAAGTGATATCTAATCAAAATATTACCTTTAGTTTGGCTTTGCATAATTTATGTACGAAGATAATTCTTCATCATTTTGCAATTTTGTAAGAAAAAAAAATTACATGTACCCAAGAACTGAAATTGTTCAGTGGAAGAAAGTACAAAGTATCACTTCAAGGGAAATGCCAAGCACTGTTAATGCTTTTCATTAAATCACTTATATATAAACTAATTATCTACAATTTCAATATCATAAATACTTCGAAAATTCATTGTAAAAGGCCAAAACGAGAGCAGCACCAGTACCACGTACCGTATTTACCCATAGACCACTAAAGTAAGCCTTGAGACCTTCTTCGTACCATATCTTCTGTAAAAAATGTCATAGTATCATTATGATCTTACCGAGTTTCAAATTCTCACGTAAACGTTTATTATTTCACGAGTAAAATTTTATTTGAAACGGCATATTCTAACAGAAAAATAACTGCCTAAAACTGGTACTGATTCAAATTGACGATCAACTGGCTAAGTAAAACCTTAAAAGAGTATTTCACTATACCAAGCAATTTAATTCGGCAAAAGCTTTGATTTACATCGATAACTTTTCCATTAACTATTCTAGTCTTCATTATAAACACGAAAAAAACAATCTTGAAAATAGGCAAGTATAAATCGAGATCAAATTAAATTCCATCATTTATCATCTATCATCTAGTTTAAATCTACTTCGAAATCTTTAACTGCTCTAAAGTTGAAAGAAACATACCGTTGTACAATGCCATACTCCTCGATAAAGTATATCACTACGACCAGCTTGCATCATAAAACGTCTACGTATCGTATCCAATGGATAGGAAATTAAAGCTGCTGTAAACGTAACTACCTATAACAATTGCATTCTTCCCTCTAGTTGAAAAATCCTTCATAAAATTTCGAATTAACATCTCAGTATATCTTTGCTATTTTTTTTTTTTTTTTTTTTTTTTTTTTTCACTTAACAAATTAGTATTTCTTTCACATTAATCAACAAAAGAAAATATTTTCAGTACCTGACCAATCAAGAAAGCATAAACGAAACTGATATCATTACTGCCATATTTACTCAATTGTGCTTTCGCTGTATCAAAGAGGCCATAATAAGCTCCACGATACAGAAAAATATATTGAAGTGACGGCCAAAAACCACTGCAAAATTTACATTTCATATAAACTTCAATGATATAAGAGATAATAACTGATGTAAAAGTTTTATCTTGAATTTAAAAGGCTCTTTTATCTCATGTACAGATATTAAATTCAAATATATCTCCTGCTATGAGCAAACTATAATAGAAATCACTTACTAATACAATCCACGCAATCCATCATGCTTGAATATCTTATGCATGCAATCAAAAAAACCTAAGAATTCTCGAGCTGTCCCTTTCCCCATATCGATGGCTAATCTAAATATTCATTGAACGTTGAATTTAGATAACTATCAGCGAAATGACAAAGACAATTTTGCAAATATCACTCAGAATTACTTGAATTTACAAGTTACACTTGTAGAATAATGAGTCACATAGCATAGATGTAACTATGAGTTCCAACTGTAAATATAAGCCCATAAAAGTTAATCCAAACTTCATCTGGTATTATCCCAAACATGTAAAGTTATAAATAAAGTTATTAAAAATTACCGTGTTCTTACGAAATCTAATGGATAGATTATGCAATATGTTGCAACACCAGATGCAGCACCAGCACCGAGATTACCTAAAACCAATATTTTTTTACAAATACTTTTAAAAAAATCTATTATCAAGATGAAAGTTGTAAGAAACAGTAAGCTCTAATTTAGATTTCAATAAGAAGCCTCAAAATGGAAATCAGTTAATTTCCAAAACTGTATCACTAAACTCATAAGAGTAACTTTAATGAAGCACAGTTACTTTTAATGTTTTCAGTTTTCGGCCTATAAAAATGCTTACCTAATACAAAGAATATAGCTTACAACAAAGAACGCATGAAACAACATTACTCACTAGTGGCACTTCTGAATTTATTCAAATCCAGCAATAAATTCATGAACCTGCTGTAAGGTGCCAGTAATCTTTCTTCACATCCACACCATTAAGAAACCAAATTTTGAAGAAATCCTTGAAAGCAAATCCAAGAGATTCCTGTAACTACTACAGTTGAAAGCAAGGCAATTTTGCAAATTATAATAAAAATAAATAATCCTCAAGAAAATAGAACGATGAATTCAGACATAGTTTATGTGAAAATCACACATTTAAAATTTTGAATAACTTTACAATCCATATAACGTCAAGAAAAAGTTCCACCTAGTTTCATAGCATGTTCACCATATGGGATATCAGAATATCAGATCAATACCAACTTTTCTGATCACAATACTAGTTCTCGGAAAAAACATAATTTTCTAATGTTTAAAAAGGAAAAAAACAGTGATTAGAGAAGTACCTGTGAACAAGCTCGAGCAATATTCACTAAATTTCCACGCCAAAAAGATAGAAAACCCTGTTCGATTGGTATTCGCGTGAAACAATCAAGCATACCCTTGTAACGCTTCCCAACTGCAATAGTTTCCTGTGCATTTTGCAGCTAAAATGATAATTACTAAATTAAACATCGAATTCAAAGGGAATTCAATTAATTTCTTTTGAATATAAGCCTTCACATCGGTCATAGAATATAAAACAAAGCACAAAACTAAGCATCCAGTTTTATAAATGGAAAATGAAAAAATTCATTCGAGGACTAAAAATTTGGAATATATGTATTCTTGAAAATATCGTTACAGATATTTGAAATGATCAAATCAGTACATATAACCTGTATAATTTCTAAATGAAAATGAAATTTAAGCAAAAATTTATCCAAGTATACCTGAAGAATTAATTTAACTCGTTCAATGGGAGCTATAATTGTCTTCGCTACCACTGCTGCACCAGCACCTAATGTCAAATCTTTGAGAAATTTTGTCGCATCATTAGCATTAGGCAAATAATCGCGACGTACTGTGTCGCCCAATCTGAACAAATAACGAATTTATAAGTATGAAATTATGAAAATAAAAAATAAATACAAAATGAAAATTTACAATAATAAAAGATAAGTATGAAAATAAAATTTATAATTAAATTTGCAATCTACACTGTTTTTTTTTTTCGAAACAAATTTATAACCATTTCGGATTTCTTTTTTTCTTTTTTTTTAATCATTTCAAAGAATAACTTATTCATTACAAATTATTTTCCTATAGCATTAAACAATCTTTACTTTAATCATAAATACTAACCTGTCAACCATAATTAAAAATTATTAATGATATACTTTTCACTGTTGCATTTGATTACAAACTGAAATTTATTTGTCTTCAATCTTAAATGAAAAACAATAACAATATAATGAACAGAAATATATATATTTTTAACTAAAATTAAGACCAATTTACTTTTAATCATTTTACAAAAGTTACCCACCCATTCACGAGGTAACTCAATAACTCAGCAAAAGGTACTTACCTGTCGCAGAACACGTCAAGTACGCTTCGCCGTACGCTAACAATCTCACTTCCCTCTCGTCCTCTCATCCTTTACAATTCTTAATCATCTCCACGCGATCATTTTCTTAACCAACTACCATTGTTCTCTCGCAATTCCTTTCAATCTCTACCATCACAACAAATACTTTAAATCCAACTGCTATCTGTTTCTCATCTCAATCTACCATATTACCATTGTTCTCTCGCAATTCCTTTCAATCTCTATCATCATAATAAATTCTGTGCAACACGAAAAAATTGATTAATTCTGACGTTGACAAGAATGCTGCGTGAACGTAATAATTACGTGCTGCTGTAGTATTAACGTGATCAAACGTATATTAACATAATCAAACGTAGTATTAACGTGATCAAACGTATATTAACATAATCAAACGTAGTATTAACGTAATCAAACGTAGTATTAACGTGATCAAACGTATATTAACATAATCAAACGTAGTATTAACGTAGTCAAACGTAGTATTAACATAATCAAACGTAGTATTAACATAATCAAACGTAGTATTAACATAATCAAACGTAGTATTAACATAATCAAACGTAGTATTAACGTAATCAAACGTAGTATTAACATAATCAAACGTAGTATTAACGTAATCAAACGTAGTATTAGTCGCAATCAAACGTAGTATTACGTAATCAAACGTAGTATTAACGTAATCAAACGTAGTATTAACGTAATCAAACGTAGTATTAACGTAATCAAACGTAGTATTAACGTAATCAAATGTAATCAAATAAATTATATCATATAATATTAACTTTCATGAAAATGCTATTATTAAAATTAAAAATTTATCTTTCTAGTTTTAAGCTAATTTCCTTTACGTTGTTTACACGTAGGTTCACAATTCTAGATTTTATCACTGATTATTTTATCTTATTTCTGTAATATATACTTCTTACATCCATTCATAAATTTTTTTTCCAATAAGTTAGCTGCTCTTTTATTCTGATAAATATATATAATTACATTTCTATTGTAAATGAGAAATGGAAGAGTTCTCGAAAGATTTAAAAGAAATTTCAATCTTTTCAATCCATTTTAATAAATTCAATATAACACAGTTTTTTTTTTTTTTATAAGGATCGATAGTGGCATAAAAGTATGATAATTTGTGCAGGAAACTGTTTCATATAATAATATTAATTTTCATTTCTTTCCCATCTTTGTATGAATGCGATATTATTATACGGATATCATATAAAATTAACAAAATATATTGTCAACTACCTGTCAAATCTTTCTCTGACAGCAATACATGCTTAGAGAGAGAGAGAGAGAGAGAATTCTTCATGAATCAATAATGTCAACTGTATGTCAACTCAACCTGACCTGTCAACTGTCATGTCAATCCAACCCGATCTATCAACAATCATGTCAACTCAACCTGACCTGTCAACTGTCATGTCAATCCAACCCGATCTATCAACAATCATGTCAACCCAACCTGATCTATCAATTGTCATGTCAACCCAACCTGATCTACCAACGATCATGTCAACCCAACCTGATCTATCAACAATCATGTCAACCCAACCTAATCTACCAACAATCATGTCAACCCAACCTGATCTATCAACTGTCATGTCAACCCAACCTGATCTATCAACGATCATGTCAACCCAACCTGATCTATCAACTGTCATGTCAACCCAACTTGATCTATCAACTGTCATGTCAACCCAACCCGATCTATCAACAATCATGTCAACCCAACCTGATCTATCAACAATCATGTCAACTCAACCTGACCTGTCAACTGTCATGTCAATCCAACCCGATCTATCAACTGTCATGTCAACCCAACTTGATCTATCAACTGTCATGTCAACCCAACCTGATCTATCAACTGTCATGTCAACCCAACCTGATCTATCAACTGTCATGTCAACCCAACTTGATCTATCAACTGTCATGTCAACCCAACCTGATCTATCAACTGTCATGTCAACCCAACTTGATCTATCAACTGTCATGTCAACCCAACTTGATCTATCAACGATCACGTCAACCCAACCTAATCTGTCATCAGTATAACTCTAAATTTAAACTGTAAAACATTGAAACTTTCCAATCTATACGATCATTGATTATCTAACTGCAATTGATTGAATAACATTTTCATAACACAAAACCAAGAAAGCAATTATCAAATGAAAAATTAAATGTAATACTTGATTTTGTGAACTTTTTTTTTCTTTTTCAGGAATTTATCATTTGCATATATTATCAATAAGAGAAACCGAAATCAAACTGACCGGAATATTCCTCTGCAAATATTACATATTGAAGGACTAATGTTTATTGCAGTAATCAATTAATTAATCAGTAATTTAAAAACCAAATAATAATCACTGAAAAAGACAAAATTTTACTTTTTATTTTCTGCATGAAATTGTTAGAAAGAACCCAATACAAGAAAAAAAAAAAAAAAAAACATAGGTAAAATGCAAAAAAAAAAAAGAAAAGAAATTAAAAATAATTTCATTCCATATTTATGTAAAAATTTTCAAAAAAAAAAAAAAAGTGACAGTCAAATTTATACAATAGCAAAAATAATAAGGCAAAGTTAAATCTCAACGCACATATATTTAATAATGCAAAAAAAAAAAAGAAAATGCGCAAAAATTGACAGAAATATTTCACAAATTCATTATTGCAAAGTGGCCATCAAATAGAATTATCACAGTTATAGAAAAAAAAAAAAAATTATAACTTTTTTTTTTTTTGAATTTTGATTACTTTTAACTATCATAAATAATTTTGATAGATGACAAATAAGCATGCAAAGTAAAAAAAAAAAAAAGCTCACGTGCGATTGTGCGTACGATAACAAAAGTACAATAAATTAACGTGAAAAAAAAAAAAAATTTAAATCGACGTGAAAGCAAGAAAGTAAAAAAAGAAAAAAATTGATAAAGAATGAATGAATGAAACAAAATCCAAAGCTAATAATAATTACAATTATAAAAATGAATAACTGTAATGATAGCTGAAAAAGAAAAAAAACGAATAATTTAAATATTTTTCTAAAAATTTGATCGCAACTTTTCTTTTTCCTCTTTTTTTTTTTCTTTCTTTTTTTGCAAAGAAATAAAATCATCATCATCAAATATAATCATCATTATCAATCATTATCATTAAACATAATCATCATCATCATCATCATCATCATCACCAACAACAACAACAACAACATTATTGTAGTAGTATGATGAAGAAGAGATAGATACACACGTTAATACTTTTTTTGAAGCATTTCAATCTGATCATTCTTTCCCCTCTTCTGAAATATGCAAATTTATTTGAAAATTAATATAAATTATACAAATAATATTTCAAATTTTAAACTTTCAATTACTATTTAATTTGCTTTTGAAATTGTAAAAAAAAAAAAAAAAATATGACTATTATTTATTATTTCATTACATACTATTACTGTTATATAATCCATCACTTCATCTAGTTTTCTTTTTTTTTTCTTACAATTTCTTGAAATAATTCAACAATGTTTTCAAAAAAAAAAAGCAGTAAATTTCTAATTTACATATTTTAAATTAAAAAAAAAAATTCAAAGGTTTTCCTCCCTTCCTCCTCCCCCCCCCTCCCCACAAAAAAAAAAAAATGAACGAAAATAAAATTTGATATTGTTTAATAAAATACCATTTTTTTGGAGAGAAAAAAAGAGAAATCATTACTAGTAAAGTATGATTACCATGTATGATTTTAAAAATTTCAATAAATTATCATCATCATCATCTCATCTTACAAAACAAATATTACTTATATAACATTAATAATTAAACATTTAAAAAAAAAAAAATTTCAAGAAGTAATATAAAGTACATACTGAGTAATTAATTTTCTCTCAACAATAAAATTTTACAACTCGAATCTCGGCACTAGTTGCGATGAACTCGAAGACCATGGGTACCTATAAGACGCTTAGTTTCAATCATTTAAAATAAATTTTTTCATTTAATCATATTTACATTTTTCTTCTCTCTCTCTCTCTCTCTTTTTTTTTTTTTGTTCTTTTTGCCATGCAATTTCTACTAGTTTCATGCAATAACAACAACAACAAAAAAAAAAGCAAATTTTAAAAATTTATAATTAACAAATTTTATTTTGAAAAAAAAAAAAAAAAATGTTTTGTTTTGTTTTTTTGTTTGAAATAAATGTTAGCTTTAATGGAATGGTGCAAATGTGAGATTTGTGAAAACAATTGGGAAAATATGCAGAAAAAAAGAAAAAAGTGACAAAATTGAAAATAAAATAATAAAAAAAAAAAACATACACACTTTAAATGTGCTTCAAACTTAAAATAGAAATAATAATAATAATAAAAAAAAAAAAATGATGGCAAAGCACAAACGGAAAAAGTTGGGTTTTTTTTTTTTTTAGATAATATTAAGATATCTACGAAAGATAAAAGGAGAGAGAAAAAAAAAAAGAGGCAAAATTTTTAGGAAATTCTGGAAGACAAAAAAATGAAAAAAAGAAACAAAAAAAAAAAAACAGAACAGGAAGTACCAGAAGGTTCTTCCTGCGTAGTTATCAGTTCGAATCAGTGCCTTATGTTGGTATCATCATAACAAAAAAAAAAAACAACAATAATGATTATTCTAACCTTTTTGATCACTTTCTCGAGATATTACCCATCAAATTAGATGAATAGAACTAAAAGTTAAAACCTACATCTTAGTGTTAACTATATATTACTAACAGGAATCATTTTTATACTTAATATTTGAGTAACAACTCTCTCTTTCTTCTCAATATCTGAATATACTAAATATAAAAAAAATATCAGTTTTAGAAAATCGTTTTTTTAAAAAAAAAAAAAAAAAATGAAAAAAAAAGGATGAAACATATCGTCTCGTAATGTCATCAGTCACAAAATTTTGTCAACAATTTCAACAAATAGCAATAATATTGAGGGATATGCTCAAAAAAGAAAACAAAAAACAAAAAAATAAAAAAACAAAAAATAAAAAAGAAATAACAGACTATTAAATAAAAAAATTCCTAATTCAGTTTTTTTTTTTTTTTTTTTTTAAATGTTCACATTTCATTTAATAGACTAGAATTTTTAAAATTTAAATAATATCTAACAATAAACCCGTCAAAAATATTCACACTAACCTCTATTTTACTGTATTATTTACAATTTTAACTAAAAATTCTTTTCACTATTTTTTACAATTATAATACATCCTATTCTTATTCCTATAATCTCTCTATAATCACTTAAAAAAAAAAAAATCTATTACTAAATTTTTCAATCTCAAAAAATCTATTACTAAATTTTTCAATCTCTCAATTCATTCTCAAATTTCCTAATCAAGGAAATACATCAAGGCACTGAATCGAATTGAAAAATCACAGCTTGTAGTCGTTATAATAAAAAGTCTTCCAGATTTTAAAACGATTTCGCCGATATTTCATATAGATGAAAAGAACCACCACAGCGATGACCGATAGCCATAATATAGAAAATGATCGTTTCACTGATGATCCACCATTATACCTACGTCCTACAAAACAAAACAAAAAATGGAACATATGATAAGTTTTTTTTTTTTTTCAAAAATACCTATTAATTGATTACACGTTGTTAATAAAAACAAATGAATACATATTTGATTAATTTAGATGAAAGAAGAAAGAAACATTTTTTTTTTTTTCTATATTCAAAAAAAAGAAAAAGAAAAACATTTTTACATTTCATTCATTTGATGCAAAATTTCTATTTATGAAAAGATATGACAATGTTATAAGATGAAAATTATAAAATGCATCTTATATGAATGAAATAATTATATTCAATATATATAAATAGCTAAATCTCGAAGAGACTATCGAGATTATTACATAATACTCAAAAATGCTTTCATACATTATCAGCATATCATTTTTAAGTCATTCAATTTCAACACTTTGATAAGTAATATTGATAACTGATAATTAAATGAGAAAACAAAAAAAGAAAAAACTATACAAGACAAATATCTCATATATTTTAGCGTAGAAATATCAATTAGACTTGAAAAAAAAAAAAAAAAAAGAAACTATGCAATATTTATGTATTTGTTGAACAACAGAAATGATCCAAAAAAAAAAAAATATATATATATATATATATATATATCAAGCTTATATAGAACTTAAAATATCTAATCTTAATAAATAATGAAATTAATTCAAATTCAAAAAGTTGACAACAAAGCTTGACAAATATTGCCTTTTACAATAATACCATGGCTTATTATGTTTGTTGATCGATTCAGATTTACTTTAAAAATTGATCGAATGTTAATGCAACTGTTTGATGAAACATCAATTCACAATAATAATCCTTGAAATGTATAAATTCAATATACTTTTTCCTTCATTTATAATTTATTTAATGATATTTAAATGAAAAAGAATACACTTACCATAAGCATCACTGTCAACAAATCCCCATCCAGGTATGTCACCAAATTCATTACTAACTTTTTGATCTGCTTCTTCTATAGCATCAACATCAAATGCACCTATTTGCAATTTTGGACTTAAATGTTTCGTTTCAACAGCTACCAATTTACCATCTTCAAAATCACTCACTTTTATAGCAGGTGCAGACTGAAAATAATTCAATAGTTTAACAAATTCAAACAATTCCAAATTCAAATTTAGAGAAATTTGATATATCTAAAAGAAGAAGAAAAAAAAAAATTAAAGTGACAATAGAGTAAAGTTTTCAGAAGTCTGCTAATTATTTAAGTTTCGTAAAATAGTCCATAATCTAACTTACTCGAAGACCATCAGTCTTCAAATTACTATAATAACTGATCAAGAAATTCAATATAGCTTCTCTATCAAATTCTCCATCTTGTTTTCTACATTCTGGACATAAAGAAACAGGAGGAAATTGTTGTTTTGGAAAAACTGGATCTTCTGATGCTTTACTGGCGATATATTTGTTGACAATATTATGTGTCATCCATAACCACATTACACCATCCGCTAAATATACAAATTTCTATATAAAATATTGAAATAAATTTAACAAGAAAGTCCAAAAAAAACATAATAAAATTCATAATAAAGCTAACATAGCAATAAAATATCACTTATATTCTTCAATAATAAAATTCATTTCACTTAAAAAAAAACTATTTAACAAAATTTATATGGTTTTTGATATTAAATTGATTAAGAAATCTAATAATAATAATAATAATAATTTTGATATTAAATTAATTATGTAAATATAATGATTACGACAAAAAGAAAAAACAAAACATTTATATTGGTGTATAAACATAATGGAATATAACTTATCTTTTTTTCTACTTTTATCATTTTCAACTTTTATCATCTTTATCATTATCACCTACCTGGCGTGACAACAGCACTCATATTTCGCCTTAAAATTCCTTCATGAAAATGAGTTGCACATTCGGTGCAACCAAAGAAATGCCATATAAATTGATGAAATGGTTCGATCAGATCATTGTTAGCATTAAAATTCGGATCTATAAACAGTAAGATCAAAGGATCAGAATTAATTTCAAAAATTTAATTCTAATAAATATAATGATCTTCGATCAGATCATTATTAGCATTAAAATTCAGATCTATAAACAATAAGATCAAAGGATCAGAATTAATTTCAAAAATTTAATTCTAATAAATATAATGATCTATCTTCTTTCTGTCATTTTTTCTTAAATAAACAATCTCTTTTTTTTTTTATTTGAAACATATCAACATAATATGTGCTTATAATAATTTAAAGAGAGGAAAAAAAAAATGATTCAACCAATTTCAAAAATTTTTATTAACACTCGTAGCATTACTATTCCTTAGAAATTTTCATAATATCATGAATGTAATAATATCGTTTTTCTTTTTTTGCTAAAAGTATGTCATTTTAAAATTTGAGAAAAACAAATTTCATTCATTTCATTTTCATATACATTCATTTACCTTTCCTTTTTACATTTTAAAATCTCAGAAAAAAAAAACCTGAAAATAATTTAAATTTACTAAAATTATATATAATGAGTATAAATATTTCAAAATTTATTTTCAAATGTTATCTTTTTTTTTCCCTGAAACTAATACTGAACAAATTTTTTTCTTTTTTTTTTTTTTAATTATTTTTTATTTTTACTACTTACTATTTTGCTCAAGTTTATATGCTTGAACACTCATTGCATGTATTATTGTCCATATACCACAAGAAAATCCTCGAAAATGAGGTTTTGATCCACGACAAGCCATATAATTGGTTGTACTTGGTAGTGGCTGACCTAATTGATCCTAAATTAAAAAAAAAAAAAAAAAAGGTTATACAATCAAAAATTGTTATGGAATGTATTAAGTGTCAAATATTTTATTTTACCTCAAACTTGGGTAATTAAACCCGACAAATTAATATTATAACAACGCATAACGAAAGATATAATATAATTATAAAACACTAAAATAATATCAAAATCCATCCCAAAATGTAGAATGAATAATCGTAATGGAGGATCGGTTGGTTTATATACAGAACCGAACTGACAACCAGATATCCGGTAGAGGACATTTAACTGATGTGAAACAAAGACCATCCCAAAATGTAGAATGAATAACCGTAATGGAGGATCGGTTGGTTTATATACAGAACTGAACTGACAACCAGATATCCGGTAGAGGACATTTAACTGATGTGAAACAAAAACCATCCCAAAATGTAGAATGAATAATCGTAATGGAGGATCGGTTGGTTTATATACAGAACCGAACTGACAACCGGATATCCGGTAGAGGACATTTAACTGATGTGAAACAAAGATTGCTAACAAAGGGTTTTTTATTGTGTGAGAAAAAGGAATTAGCATAATGGCTTAAATGATCTAATGATCTACACATAGATCAGTTACAAATGTGAAATTATTTGGTGAATGACTTATCAGACATCTAACAAAAGTATTAGAATTTAAATATAATTTAAATGTATCATTTTTTTTTTTTTTATGACAAAAGTTTCAAAAATTAAAATTAATCAGTAACAACATTAATTTATATCTCATTTGATTAGCAGTAATGAAATAGATGAGAAAACAAAAACAAAAAATCCATTACAAATATAATAAAAAAAAAAAAAAAATACATTAGCATTTTATCTAATATAATCTAGCAATACAAATATTTCAATGTAAATAAAATATGATATAAAAAAGTTAAAAAAAAAAATTTAATTAAATTAATGATATAATAATTACCTGAATTACTTTTACTTGATTTGTCCATTGTTCAGAAATGACTTCAGTTGATACATTTTTAAGCCAATGATCCAATCTGTATAGCAATTTTCTTATAGGAATTGTTCCCGGCATATACTATAAAATTGTTATTAATATAGTTATTTATTTTATTTAGTTTAATCAATTTTTGAAATATTAAAAAAAAAAAAAAGAAAAACTATAACAAAAATACATGACAACTATTTCATCCTAATTATTATCAATTGCAATTAATTTTACAATCATAATTATTATGATTGGTAGTAAACAAAAGAATAAAAGAGTCTTTTATAAGTAAACAAAAAAAAAAAAAAAAAAAGAAATTTAAATTATAGTAAATTTAATGATTTAGTGATAATAAATTTAATGATAATGAATAGATTTAATGATAATAAATTTAACCTTTTTCATCGCATGAACCCATAATTTCAGTGCTGTAAGTTTTTCATCTTTAATTACAGATTTCCTTGGTATTTCAGCCATTAACATATAACGAAGTGCAGTTATAATATCCATCATTTGTACCTTAAAAAATATTTAATATTATATTAAAACATTTTTATATTTAATATTATCATATGTCAATCATTTAATTAATCTTTTAGGGATAATTAAATGATTGCAACAAATATGAAACTTTCAAATTTCAAATTTCAAACTTTAAAACAAACTTCAAATTGATTCCATGTAACCAATGGTTTCACATCATCTTGTGTCTTTGTATCACGTAATACTTCATTCTAAATCAATAAAAATTTAATTTTTAATTTTAATAATTTCAAATATTCATATCTTTAACTAATATCTAATCTATTTTAACTGTTGATTAAATATATTGACAACAAAAGCAGCAATTTTTGAATACAAACTAAATTTAAAGAATGTAAATTCAATTCCATTATATGACATATTTTCCATACGTGAAAAAAACTCCTTAACAAAGTTTATTTAAGAATTAAAATCAAATGCGTTAAAAATTATTTCATGCAAATACAATGAAAAATTATTTTTCATTATAACATATAAATGAAACAGCTGATCAATTGATATTGAATAATTTAGAAATGATTTAAAAAAAAAAAAAATTGAAAAGAGAGGAAAAAGTAAGAGTAATAATAAGAATTAAAAAAAAAAAAAAATACCTGATGTGGTTGATGTGGCTGATATGGAACAGGTATATTTATGGCAGGAATTTGTGCCAAATGTTCATTAATTTTATCTTGCATTTGAAGCCAAGTATCATGTTCCCTTCAAAAAAAAAATAAACAAACATTTTATTTGTTTTTTTTTTTTTTTTGCAATCAAATTATATGAAACAGTAATAAACAATAACAATTGAACCTGATCATACAATCATTATTAGTTTTGATAAGAATTTCCTAATAATATTTATTATTTATTTATTTATTTATTTTTTAATCAAACTACTCGTGTATTTATTGATTTTTTTAATCAAACTACAAATTCTAGACAGGTTATTCATGTAATTTTATACAGAAATTACTTATAAGATAATACAAAATGAGAAAAAAATTAAACTGAAATGTTGCAATTAAATTAATATGAAACAGTAATAAACAATAATAAATGAAATTGATAGCCTTGATAAAAATTCCTAATAATTTATTTATTTATTTATTTATTTACTTATTTTTTTTTTCTTGATCAAACTATAAATTTTAGGCAGTTAGTTTCTAGAGAAATTACTTATAATATAAAATAAAAATTTTACATTGAAATATAAAGTGGAATTGGTTGACCCTTTTTTAGCAAAACAATCGTGACTTTCCTAATGGTGCTGTAATACCAAATTGCATTGCTATTGGATTATTACGTTGAATTTGCGCAACATAAATTCGTTTATCACTAGCAAATGCTATCATTTCCTGTATGAAAATATATTTTAGTAAACAAAAGTTTTAGTAACAAAACAAAAAACAAAAAAAAAAAAAACATATAAAAAAGTTCATACATTAATGATTATTAATTATCTAATCATAAATAAACAAATAAATAATAGAATATGAAAACAAACAACTAAAAAAAAAAAAAAGAAAAGAAAAACAAACTAAGTAAAGTTAATTTACTAATTCACATCAATTTTTACATTTTTCAATACTTTTTTTTTTCTTGTTTACCAAATTAATATAAAATAGACAAAAGAAAAGTTTTCAGTTTGAATATCAATTATTCTTATATAATAGTATGAAGTATTCATTATTAATATTGTAAATAAAATTATAAATTTTTTTTTTTTTTTAAAAAAAAAAAAAGAAAAACATTGCTTACTGCCCAAGCTGTCCTTGAGGGATTATCTTCAACAATCAGAGCTAACAATGAGGTACTAGGTGGTATTATAGGTAAAATATCTTCAAGCCTCACATAACTGAAATAAATGCCATAAAACATCAATTTAAAAAAATGTTAAAATAAATTCAAATTCTTACACTTTACTACAAAATGCTATAACTTCAAACACTTTTTTCTGGAATTCACACAAAAGAATATTTAAATTTATTAATTACAATTTAAATAGTAATATAAAAAAAAAATAGATCAAAATGTACTTCAAAATATCATTTTCATCATAAAAATAAACTTAAGTTAAAAAAAGAAAATAAAATGGCAAAATAATCAAACTTACTTATCACTAGTTTGAAAATTAGGCCATTCTGTAGGTCTTCGATATATCCAATCATTATATACCAATTGAGCAATATCCAATGCTACCTCATTTAAATTATGTTTATTTCCTTTATATGCTACAGCATCATTTGCATTTGTTGACATATATTTGAAATACTGAAATGAAAAAAAAAAAAATTTAAATTCTTCAAAAAAAATTTTTTTTAACAAAAAAAAAAAAAAACAAAATTATCATGGAAGAAGATCATACATCTATTTTATTTCTCCAATAAATAAATTTAATTTATCCTAATAATATTAAATTTCAAATCATACATATATTTTTTTTTTTATTTTATATTATTACTAAACTTCAAATTATATATATATATATATATATAAATTTTTTAGAAGTTTATATCAAAAAGTTTTAAATTTTATTTAATAATATATTAATACATAGAATCAAACAATTTAAAAATATTACTGAAATAAAATTTATATAAATTAGTAAAACAAGAAAGGATAAAATGATATTTGATTTTTTAAAATTAGGATACAATCTGAATTTTATTAGGGTATAATCTCTTGAAAAAATGATATAGAAGATATAACAAATATGACTAATTTAATTGAAATTTGAAAAATTTTTCGAAAAGAAAAAAAAAAAAGTATTACTTTAATAGTTGGAAATGCATCAACATTATGCTCTCGACATAATTTTAAATTATTATTGTCAGCACAATCTACAGCTGCAATTTGAACAATTGGCTTCCATTGTAGCAATTGTCTGCAAAATATTCTTTAGTATTTTATTTCCTATGATTAAATCTTATTTACTATCATTAAAATTTACTATGATCTTGTTTACTACAATTTGACATATGAATTTTTATCATTTGATGCTTAAGTTGACTTAAAATTTGACAATAAACAAAAAGTTAACCTAAAACTATGAAGGTAAAAAAGTAAACGAAACTTTAAAATAATTTAGATAAGTAATTAGGAGATAATAAATTATCATCTCTGATATAAATTATAAATTTTGTGCTCTGTAAAATTCACTATTTAAAGTTTACAATTTACTTAATAATAATAATAATTCATAAATCAGTAAATCAGTGAAGTAATATTTAAACATATTCTATAATTTAAATTTGTTTAAAATGAATTTTTTTTTTTTTTTTTTTTGACATATTACCAAATGAACATCGATCAAATCATAATTTAAAATGCAAATGCAAAAATTTTTCATCAATTTATTATTTACTTTACTAAGTAAATAATAAAATGAATGAAAAGAAATTATGAAAATGCAAAATAAGAAAATAATCAATTCTTATAGCTTTCTATTCCTTTTATCATAATCTATTTTCAAGAAAAAAAAGAAAGAAAAAAAAAAAAAAAAAACGGAAGAAATTATTAAATTCTTTTAAATCTTTTTAATTAGCTTAAATAATTCTACTTAACTTTTCCATTCAAAAAAAAGAATCTCACAAAAAACTTCGTTACTTTTCTCTCTCTCTCCCTCTCTCTCTCTCTCTCTCTCTCTCTCCCTCCTTCTCTTATCTTCTCTCTCTAAACAAGCATTTTATAAACAAAAAAAAAAAAAAAAAATTATAACAAATTTTTGACTAATATTTAAAATGAAATAAATTTTTGCTTACTTTGCAAGTTGTTTGTAAGTTTCAGCGTATCCAATACAAGCACCACACCAACTCGAGAAAAATTCGATGAAAAAGACTTGATTCTAAATTACAAAAAATTTTTCAATTTAATTATTATTCTATAATAATTAATTATCTTTATTTAAAATTTCTATAAGCAAGCAATAAACAAAAATAACTAAATAAATTATAATTAAAAAAAATTTAGCAATAATCCAAATCTGCCTAACTAAAAAATAATAATAAATGATGATTAATAATGATATAATTGCTTAAAATATTTAAATTAAATTATACTAAAATGAAATATGAATGAAAAAATATACATATATAAATCTAAAAATAAATCTTTTTATCAGATTATATAAAAATAAATCTTTTATTTTATTTAATATTATTTAAATTTAAAATGTTGGCAAATAATCTCTTAGCTAAGCATATATACATATATATATATATGTATATCAAAAGATCAAACTGTTATTATTATTTCAATTGATATCTTATTCAAAGTGAAAAAATTTTACTTTAAATATGAACTTTTATTCAATGATAAAATTTTCGTGATAAAAATTAACTTACCTTATTGTATACTTTCTTATCAAAATTATCACTATTTAATATAGTTATATGATCATTTGGACCATATAAAGAAGATGATGGTACTGGTAAATCATCGTCCACTTCAGTAACCGTTATTCGTTCAACAAATAATATTGAAATTAGAAATAATGATATCCAAATATATTTGTTGTTTCCAATCATTATTATTATTACTATTATCACTATTCTTCTTATTATTATTATTGTTATTCCAGTATATCCTAAATTCTGCAAAAATATATTTTTAATTAATGATAATTGTGTACTGAGATTAAAAAAAATGATATCCAAATATATTTATTGTTTCCAATCATTATATTATTATTATTATTATTATTATTATCACTATTTTCTTATTATTATTTTTATTACAGTATATCCTAAATTCTGCAATAATACATTTTTAATTAATGATAATTTTGTATTGAAATTAAAAAAAATGATATCCAAATATATTTGTTGCTTCCAATCATTATTATTATTATTATCACTATTATTATTATTATTGTTATTCCATTATATCCCAAATTTTGTAATAATATATTTTTAATTAATGATAATTTTGTATTGAAATTAAAAAAAATGACATCCAAATATATTTGTTGCTTCCAATCATTATTATTATTATTATCACTATTATTATTATTATTGTTATTCCATTATATCCCAAATTTTGTAATAATATATTTTTAATTAATGATAATTTTGTATTGAAATTAGAAAAAATGATATCCAAATATATTTGTTGCTTCCAATTATTACTATTATTAATACTACTACTATTATTATTATTATTTTAGTATATCCTAAATTCTGCAATAATATATTTTTAATTAATGATAATTGCGTGTGTTTTTTTTTTATGAAAATTATTATTAATAAAAATATAATCAAAAGTATTGAAATGTTATTATACCTATCAAAAATAATCGTTATTTAAACAATTCAACAAATACGTTGGAAAAAAAAAAAAATCTCGCATTCATAAATTGAATTTAAACAATTTATATGAACAAATCTTTTTTAAAAAAAAAAGAAAAAATCGAAAATATTACAACATTTAAGAATTATTGTACAATATGAATTACTGTACGATAATTTTTTTTTTTTTATTTAAAATAAAAAAAGAAAATTCATCATCGAATAATTAATGAATAAAAAGTTTATAGGAAAAAAAAAAAAAAAAAGAAAGAAAAGAAAAGAAAAATTGTAAAGAGAAGAAGAGAAGAATTCATTGACAAATGACACTTAAAGATTTTAAGAATTGATACTTTTGAAATTAATCAATCAAATGGAAAATCGTTTCTGAAAAAAAAAAAAATGAAAATGAAAAGATGAAAAAAAAAAAAGATTCAATTATAATCATTTAATAAATATACATATATTTTAGTAAGTTAAAATATTCTAAACTAATCTCTCAATAGATTTTTTATAAAAATGCAAAAATGAAAAAAATAAAGAAGTAAAATTAATAAAAAATTATTTAACAAATAGTATAAAAAAAAAGGATGACAGAAGAGAGTTAAGAAATTAAAAATAATAATAATAATAATAATACAATGATAAACATTTGAATTTAAATAATCTTTCAATATAATCATTACTGATAAGAAGAAAAAAGATAGATAGAAAGATAAAAAGAAAAAATAATAAATAATTAATTAATGAATGAAAATAAACTGATCTCAATATTACTTTAGATACTTTATTCAATAACATTAATTTTTGATTAATATCTATTAATGAAAATAATTTCGCATATATTTAACTTATGCAAAAAAAAAAAAAAAAATCACTTTTAGATAATTGTTAGAAAAAAAAAAAAGAAATTAGCCATTTTTTTATTTAATTAAATTTGAATCTAACTTTTATATTCTATACATTATACCATTAAATATTATTATTACTAATAAAAATTTTTTCATGTCTTATGTTGAGTTTTATTTGCTAATAAACTAATAAATTTGCAAAAAACAACAAAGAAATCCACTAAACTACAGCTAATAACTCAATCAAACATTCTTTTCAATATCGATTTCAAATTAAAAAAAAAAACATCCATTCAAATATCATTAATTATTATTATAGCTTGGAATAATTAATCTTTTCTCCTTGTACATTATTAATTATAAATTATAAGTTATTAATTATAAATTATAAGTTATTGATTAACAAACACTGTTTTGTTTATCTATTCGCAAGTAATAAAAATAGAATTTTTTATTAAACCATTACCATTTTAATCAATTAAAGTAATTTCAAAAAAAAAAAAAAAAATTGAAGCCTAGAATAAATCAAGAGAAGAATGAAATAATTAAAGGCAATTTTAAAATTATAAATTTTACTAAAAGTAATAGTATCTTTTCATATTCTAAATAATATCAACCTATTATAACATGCGACGAATTTAATTCTAATAATAGTTTTAAAAAAACAAAAGATCAAATTGTTGAAAATAATTTGATAAATAAGCAAAGTTATTATAAAGAAAAAAATATAATGAGTAAATTTAATTTGTTTAAACATAAAAATTTAAATAAATTTATTAATTATAAACTAATATATAAAGAAAAATATAAAATTAATTATACGTATAATAAAATTTTAAATATAAAAAAAAACAAATTTTATAGAAGAAAAGGAAAAAAAAAAAAAAAAAAAAAAAGGAAGAAAAGTAAACCAATATGCTAACATCGAGAAAGGAAAAGCTTATGATGAAGAAAATGATGAAAAGAAATTTTGGTATAAAAAAAGAAGCATTTCTAAAATTTAACATCAAATTGATACTTTTGAAGAACTTTGATTCCTTCTAAAATTTCATTTCTTTTTTTTTTTTGTTTTTCCTCACTTTTTCACAACATTTTCAAAATTTAAAACTAATATAATATATAAAAAGAAAGAAATACAAATTATATTTTTTTTTAAACTATAAAATAATAAAATATATAAATAAAATTATCGCATTTATTATCAGTTAAACATTCCTATTATATTATCCATTTAACAGTTTTTTTTTTAAAATTGTCACCAAAATTTGCATACAATTAAATCACTCTCATAAATTAAATCTTCCCCGATTTATCATTTTATCAAAGTTAAAATTGAATAAATTTCTCACTTTTATCGAGCAAAAAAAAATAAAAAAGGAAAGATTAGAGATAAAAGATCGAAAAAAAAAAAAGTGAACGAGAATTAATGCTGAAAAGAATTTTTAAAAAAATTGAAATTTCAAAATAACAATTTCAAAAAAAATCATTCCATTTCAACTAACTTTTTTAATTTGTTCCTAAATTTCAATTGATGACAAATTCAAACTATTTCAATTATTAAATTTAAATTAATGATTTAAATTGATAAATTTAAATTAGCAAAATTAACCAATCATATATTTAGTACAATATATTTTTTCTTTTTTCATACTGCAATAAAAATTATTAAAATAAATAAATTTCAATGCAATTTATTATCAAACATTTCGAAAAAAAAAGAAAAGAAAAGCAATTAACCTAACATTTATTACTTTACACAATTTCTAATGCTCAAAAAAAAGCAAATGAAATATTGTAGTAATTAAAATTGCAATAAATTTTAATGAGATAATTTAAAATTAAATGATTGATTAAATTAAATTTGAAATATAATTATCATTTCATTTTTGATATTAAATGCAAAATGTATAAAACAAATTATTTCTTTCTCTTTTTTCTTTAAATTAATTACTCCCTTGCATTTTCTCTTCTTTTTTTAATCATTAATTTCAAATACATACATATCTATTGCTAATATTTCATTTATATCAAAAAAAAAAAAAAAAAAAATTGTTTCATAAAATTTGAAAAAAAAAAAAAAAGAAAAAAAGATAAATTTAACAAAGAAGAAAATATATGGAAATTATAATATAAATTAAAAGGGTAATGCTTAGATGATAGATAGTTTTCATTTTATTGAAATATTTTTATTGAAAATTTCTTTAATTATATTTTATTATTGAAAAGAAAGGAAAAAAAAAATGTAATGGTAAAATAAGTTTCTAAATAAATGTATTATATAACATTTTTTTTCTTTTTTATTAAATAATAAAAAAAAAATATAAATGCATTCTTTTCTTTAGTTTGCATAAACAAAGCTACAATTGTTATTAGGAATTTAAAGAATAAAATAATACAATGTAAAAGTTACATTTTTTTTTTCCTCTCTCTCTCCTCTCTCTCTCTCTCTCTCTCTCTATTTTATTAAAAATAAAGAAATGTTAAAATATGAAAGAAAAAAAAAATTATTTTTTTTTTGATTTATAAAAAAAAAAGTATAATTTGCTGAAAATAGTAATCTATTATGTAGATATAAAATAAAATTTAAATTAATATTTCATGTAATATTGAATAATTTTTATAAACACAATATAAAATGATAATAAATTTGCATAATAAATAAATTGTAATAAATTAAAAAAAAAAAAAAGATAGAATGGAATGATACATTGTATAATTAATTATAAAAATTAAAAAAAAATGCATATAATAATGAATTCTATTAATTAACAAAAAAAAAAAAGAAAAATATATTCAACCTAAAATATATAAATAATGAATTAAGAATTGATATCACTGATAAATGATAAATGATGAATTAAGAATTGATATCACTGATAAATGATAAATGATGAATTAAGAATTGATATCACTGATAAATGATAAATGATGAATTAAGAATTGATATCACTGATAAATGATAAATGATGAATATCATAAGTTAAGAACTAATATCACTGATATGAGTTAAGAACTGATAAATGATGAATTAAGAATTGATATCACTGATATTACTGATAAATGATGAATATTAGGATCAAAAATTTTTATTCGCCTAAAATATATAAATGATGAATATTAGAACTAATAATTGATATCACTGATAAGTGATAAATGACGAATATCATAAATTAAGAACTAATATTATTGAAAAAAAAAAACATTTTTTTTTTAACCTAAAATACATAAATGAATATTAGAATTAAGAATTGATATTACTGATAAATGATAAATGACGAATACTATAAGTTAACAACTAATATCACTGATATAAGCTAAGAACTAATATTACTGATAAATGATAAATATTAAGGATTAAAAATTTGTATTCAAAAAAAAGACAAAAAGTAAACG